TCTCTGTGCCATGGCCTGGAGACTCTCACAAGAGAGTAAACTAGAGTAATTGTAGAGATCACCTCATTTGTTTCCTGTCTCTTAGGGATAATGACCTATTTTTGCCTAATGTCTAATGTCTTGAAAATTGTCTTTTCATATATTTTGCCTAACTTGGGTTATTTCATTCTGGAGGGTATATCTGTTTCCTGTTGCTCCATCTTGTCCAGAAGCAGAAGTGTTGAATATTCCTTTAAAATCAATTAATTGATATAGTGGAGGCCTAAGGTGAGTAATGGAAGTAGAAAGAGAGGAAGTAATGGACTGGGAAAGATGCAGGTTATCATCCATTGACTATTTATTCAAAATTTACTTATTGAGCATCTACCACGTGCCAGGCACTGAGAAAAGATGGTATCTTGGACTAAGGTGTTAATGGTGGAGATAGTGAGAAGTGATTGGATGCAGGGTATGTTTTGAAGGTAGAGTCCACATGATTTGCATATATAGATGTGGGAGTATGAAAGAAAGAGAAGAGTCAAGGATAACTCTGAGGCTTTGACTTGAATAAGTGAGAGAATGGCTTTGCCTTTGTTGAGTATGGGAGGATAAAGTTTAGAAGGGAAGATCGATTTTACACATATTCAGTCTGAGATGCCTATTCAACATCCTAGTGGTAATGTCAAGGAGGCCAACTGGAGTTCAAGGGAGAGGCTGGGTTGGTGTTATAAATTTGCAAGTCATCAGCATACTGATGTGTTTGAAGTCATAGACTAGATGAGGGAAAGATGAAAACATAAAAGATAAAGATTCCATCCAAAGACTGAGTTCAAGACACTCTAAACTTTAGAGTTAGGAAAGAGGAGGAGGCTTCTTCGGAGGATACTGGAAGAAGTGGTCAGTGAGGTAGGAGGATAACCAGAAGAAATCTATTTCAAGAAGGAGAGAGTAGATAAGCTGTGTTAAATGCCACTGAGAAATACAATAGAGGTGAACAAACAAGTGACGCAGGATGAATTGTGTTCCTGGCTGTTTTCTCTTTCATTCTGGGAGCAACACTGAGGTCAGAGACTCTGCCAGATTATCTCCAGAACCTCAGCATGTAGCACAGACCTGGTACACAGCAGGTGCCTGGAGAGTATGTATGGACTAAATGAATGAATGAAAAAAAAAAAAGAGCACTGGCTAGTTGTGAGAACTTGAATGGCCTCAAACTTGAAGTTAGTAGCTTCTGCTTCTATTTTTGGCTATATTACTAACTTATCTCTTCTGTCCCTGGCCTTAATATCCCTGAAAGAATTGTCTTCAGAATGCTTTCTGCCAGCATCCAAGAGACTTCTTGGACCAGGCTGGTTTTTCTATACAAGTCTTGGGCTAGTTGTTTAACTTGTAGATAAGGAGAAAAGAGGCCCAGAAGTACACCATAATTGATGTTGGGCGTTTTGCAGAATTATCGTGACTTACTCTTGGTTTGCAAGTCTCCCTTCTTGAGGTTTCCACTTTCTATCTAGGACCTCTGCCCACCTCTCTTCTCTGTCGACTCTATGGTCTGTAATCCTCCTCACTCAGCCCAGTCCTTCCCCCAGGTCTCTCCTGTGCCTCCTCGCAGCAGCTATTGCAAACCTTCTGGCTTCCTCCAAAGTTTTGCATCTAGTGCTGCCTGATGCCTCTCTCATTTCACTGAGAATGCTGGGAATTTTTTGTGTGAGCTTCTTCAACTGTCTCTCACTGTACCCTTAACCCCATCTAAAATGTTTGTCTATCACCTCTCTCCCTCCTGGCCTGTTCATCAGTGGCCCTTCTGCCTATGTACTTGATAAGTCTCTCACCAGTTCTAGTACCTAGACCCACCATATCCATCTTTTTCATGAGTTCTGGCATTAACTGGAGTTGGTCACAAGCACAGATATTTTCATTATCTATTGAATTCTCCTCGAAACCTTTGCACTGGCTTTATTATCTCCTTTCTGTAAAAAGATAACAGCAATTGCAACCCAGAGAACTTTTCCTAAGCCCATACCCTCCAGTTCCCACACTATCTCCTTTCTCAGTCAAGGTTCTAGAAAGAGAGCTACATTCTCTATCTCTTGTTCCTCACCTCCTACTACTTACTCTGAAACCTTGCAAAATATTCCCTATTTTCCCACTACTCCTGAGCCTACTCTGGATAAGATCACCAGCTAGGCCCCTGTTGGTGGATGCAGGGCCCCTCCAGCTCTCTCATCTCAGAGAGAGGAAGGCTCAGGCTCTATAGGCAGCCCTGCTCTTCCAGACATTGTGGTGGGGTGATGGCCCTGCAAATTCTTCTGCTCTTGAGACTCTCCCTTCCCAGGGGCCTGTCTTCAGTTTCCTCCACTTAGTTCCTCAAGCCATCTGTCACCTTTGCAGCTCCTGAGAACTCTCCTTTTAGCCTCCTTCTATGCTCTCATGCTACAGGGGTAGCTCATCCCCTCTGAGAGCTTTAACTCCCAGGAAACCCTGTTGGTGTCCAGACCTCAGTGAGTGCTGGAATACTCAGTCTGTTGCAGCAGGCCTAGAGAGTGACAGCAAAGGCTCAAGACTTAAACAGGGCCTTGGACACAGAGAGCAGTTGATAGACAGAGCTTTCATTCTTTGGGGGGACAATTGACTAAAGACAGAGGCTGCTTGGATGTGATAATGATCGAAAGAAACAAGGAGTATGGTTGACATCCAGGTTTCTGGCTTGCGTGCCTGGGTAGAGGACAGGCCTCTTTACGAGGTGGGTAAATTGGAAGAGAAGCTAATTTGTAAAAAAGGGTGTCAAGTTCATTTTTAGCTATGTTGTGTTTGAGGTGCCTCAAAGGAGAAGCAGCTGGAGATATGGGTGGGCAGCTTGGAAGAGACATTTGGTTTGGGACATGATGGTAACTGAAGCCTTGGGACTAGATAAAGTTTCTTGGAATGGGCTTGTTCCCTGGCAAGTGGCCTGAAGGGGAAATTCTGATATAGGGTAGTACATGTGGCAGAACAGCCACCTCTGGGCATCCAGGCTCAGAGAAGGGCTTGTTACTGGCAAAGAAAGAACAGGGATCATGAGAGAGGAATCTCTTTTGGTGCCAGAACCTTAGAGTGGGCATAATTTGTATCATGTGCCCCCAGAGCTACACTCTTGTGGGCTCAGGGCCAGTGCTATTGGGGATGATCAATGAGGAGGGGAGAGATTCAAGTGCTGGCAAGCTGGGCCTGCACTGTCTCTCTATCAGTAATAGGCTGTGTCAAATCCTCTGCCTGGTGTTTGTAACCTCTCTGAGCTGTCCTTGGACTCCTTTGCCTTATTCTTGTAAGTACAGCTCACTCTGAAACCCAGGTCCAGCCTCCCCACACTAGTTTCCCCTCCATTCCTGCAATAGACTTGCCTTTCACAGCTTCTCCTCTACCCCTGACCTTCATTCACTGTGTTATATCCCCTCTAAATTTTCAGGCTTCTGGGAGACCAGCCCTGAAACCCTGATCAGTGAGAGTGGCCCCAGCTTTGTTTGTGTTGCTTGGAAGTTTCAATCTCCATGGTCTACTGTCTCTAGGGTCCAAGCAAGTTCCTCTCCCTCAGGTCCCCTCATTAGCATCCTGGTGCTCTAGTCCCACAGAGAGTGCCAGATGAGCAGCTCTGAGGCTGCTTGTTATTACCACTCACCACAGAGGTCGACATGCCTGCTATCACCATGGTGACAGCTCCAGAAGCTGGAACAAGCTGCGGGGCAGGTCACAGGCAATCTGGTGGTTGTGCTGACCATTTCTTACCAAATCTGGTAAGGTCTACCAACTGGCCTTAGCAGGGAATTGCTGCTCCAAGTCTCTCCTGCCTCAACCTCCCTAAGTCCATGGCAAAAGACACTGAGGAACAAAATCTTCTCTTTTCTGGACTTTTCCCTCTCAGTTTATTTTGTGGGTACTTCCTTCTCTACTCAATTTTTAAATGTTGGGCCTCTCCAGGGCTCTGGCCTGGACCCTCACTCTGTAGTCTCTTCCTACATGATCGCACTCATTTTCTCTTCCTTGCTTCCCACACCCAATCCTTCTCTGAGTTCTGTTCATTCTTCCTAAATAGTTCTCCACTCTGCCCTGTCTCATGCTCCAGTGGCACCATCTTCTCCAGCCTTCTCCCACCTTGTTTTTGTTTTTGCTCCTTCTATAATCCAGTCTCCAGCTAGCAGCCCCAAGGATATTTCTAGAATGTAATGCTGTCTTTGTCATGTTTCTGCTTAGCCCTTCCAAGGCTCTCTGTGGCCCAGAGTAGAGACTCCTGACTTGGACCGTTGCCTATGGAGCCCACTGGAGTTCTCTCTTTTCTCCTCCTTACTGTCTGCCCCACCCATGGGGCTCCTCTCTGTTTCTTAGCTTGAGTTACATTGTTTTGGGGGTGCTGGAGAGAATGTAATTGGAACAGAAAGGAAGAAACCCTAGAGATAGAGCCCCTGGTTGAAGAAGTCAGTGAGAGATGGAACTCCTACCTGAGAAGCATGAGTTCTGGGATGGTTTTGGGAGAGAACTACAAGGCTGGTGGTGGGTGTCAGCTGCCTTGAGCCAAGGTATACATCTCCTCTCATGGAGCAGGAGTTTGGGGGAAGTGGCTAGTTTGGAATTGCTCAGCAGCCTAAGCATGCACCAGACATTTGTAAAACAGGGCACCAGAAGATGGCTTAAAGGGTTTTTTGTTTGTTTTGTTTTATATTAGCTTTGATAGTTGGTATGTCAAACAATTCACTGGAGTAAAAGAAAAAGATATACATCTTGCAATTTAATATTTCTTGCCTTTTAAATTACTTATCAGGGTAGGGGGATCACTACGATCTTCTCGATGCTTGGAGCCTGGCACTTAGGTAATGCTGAGTATCCCTGCTCTGCACTGTTGGAGCAATACCCAGGGTTATTAGCATTTGCTAGATGGGGCCTGGTTTTCATCTTACTGCTTACCAACATTTTTCATGCCTTATATGGATGTCAGGGTCCTCTTTGTCCTTTCTGCTTGCCCTCTCCCTGGCAGGTGAGGGTACCACTTGTACATGGAGGATGACAGAAAAATCTAATGGCGTGAAGAGCTCCCCAGCCAATAATCACAACCATCATGCACCTCCTGCTATCAAGGTCAATGGCAAAGATGACCGCAGGACCAGTAGCAGGTGAGTCTCCTGAGGCTGGTCATTTCAAAGATGGCGCGGAGGCTGCTACTTCCTCCCAGCTCTGCCTCATTGTCACACAGCAAACAATCTTCAATTCAAGGACACTCTCTAAAGGTACCATAGGATGTCTAGGCACCTCCCAGGAGGGGAGAGTGCTGATAGGAGACAAAGTATGACTAGAGAAGCCTTGGTCAACTCTGTTCCTCCCTCTGTAGGCCACAGTCTGCGGCTGAAGATGACACCTCCTCAGAACTGCAGAGACTGGCAGAGATGGATGCCCCCCAACGGGGGAGGGGTGGTTTCCAAAGGTGGGTTCCACCACGGTCCTGCTGCTACCCCCTCCCTCCCATGGGGACTGTCAAAGTAGCTACCATGGCTCTCTTCCTCTCAGTCCCACTGGGCCTTTCCACCAAGGCCTCTGGGAAACATTGTCAGTGCTATCCTAGCTCAACTCTTACCTCCTGAGGAGGCTTCTATGAACAAACTTGGAGTAGCAGAGGAAGCTTACCTTTAGACTTGATAGTCTCAGTGTCAGGGCAGGGGGAAGGAGGGACCCTTCCCAGCAGACGGCCCTACATAGAGGGCACCAAAGTCTGCAGCCCAGAGTTGTAGGTTTCATAGAGAAATAAGGAAGCTTGGGCCAACCTTTCTCCAGGCCTGTCCTCTCTTAACACAACTTCCATCTTGCCCTTGGAAACTTCCTATTTGTTCTTCATAATCAAATGAGATGGCACCCCCTACAGGAAGTCTTCCCTTTGTCCTTTGGCTGCATTTGGAGTCATACCTGAGCTCCAGCTGTCTACTCTCAGCCCTGGCCAAGATCCTATCTGTTAGCATTGGGAAATAATGGCCTGGCCTGTTTCCCAGCTCCATCATCAGACACTGAGCTCCTGGGCACAGGTTCTAAACACATGGTTCTCTCTGGCTCATGATCCCTCTTGCACTTCTAGGATCGCCCGCCTGGTGGGGGTCATCAGAGAGTGGGCCAACAAGAATTTCCGTGAGGAAGAACCTAGACCCGACTCATTCCTCGAGCGTTTCCGTGGGCCTGAACTCCAGACTGTGACGACACAGCAAGGGGATGGCAAAAGCGACAAGGACGGCGAGGGCAAGGGCACCAAGTATAGCTGTCCAGCCTGTGGGACTGGAAGGGCTCCAAATCATGCAATCAAGAGGGCTTGGTGGAGTTTCTTATGCCACCATCAGGGGCAGAGTAGCGTCTATACCAAGCCCTGCCATGGCAGGAAAAGGGGTGGACAGAGTAGAACTACTATGATTTTAAGCCTAGAACATTTCCATTGTCTCTATCCACAGCCTTTCCAACAGCTATTAGTCCACTTGCCGTATGAGCCCCTGGTGGTTTTTCTCACCTAAGCTGTCCCTTGCCAGATTTCCTCTTGTTGCTCATGAAGCAAATAGCAAGGGCAGGGGGAAGAAATTGGATGCAGCCTCTGTTCCAGCAGTCAGTAAATGCAGAGGAGGGTGTAGTTAGACAGTGCTGTTGAGAGTGTGCCCATATCCGCGCCAATGTGGGAGCAGAGGTGGGCCTTTGAAGAGGCCGTGCTGGAGGCTGGCTGGCAGGAAAGCTAAGGAACAACTGAGCAAGAGGAGGTGGGGAGGGCAGAGAAAGCAGAGGCGGAGGGTCTGTTCTAGGAGGAATGAGTAGGCGACTGCAGATGTCTGGCCAAGCCGACATTCCCTACCTCTGGCCACTGTAGGATAAGGGCTCTTGCCAAGGCAGGATGTAGCATCTGGGAAAGTGATTTGGGGGCTGGAGGCCAGGGAGCAAATAGGGAGGGCGGGGTGGGCAGGAAGCACGTGGCGCTCACTTGCTTGGAGTTCCTCTTTCTTCCTGGGACGAATGTGGGAACAGGTGTTGAGCCCTCATTATCATCCTGTGGAAGTCCCTCCCCAAGCCCCAAGGCTCAGCCAAATAAAAGCTCTGCCCCTCATCATTTCCTTTGGACAAGGGGCCTCCGGAAGACATGGGAGCCAATGGGACTATAGAGGGTCAGAATAGAAAAGGAAGTGTCCCTTGCCCATCTGAGCTCTCTTCAGATGCCCAGTACCAGGTGTGGATCCCTGAAATATGGGGCCCTGAGGCTACTTACCCCTCACCCTGCACACCCTCTTAGGCATCGCTCTTTAGGGATCCCTGGCCTCTGGGAGTGGGAGATGTTGTCACAGTGAGGACCTGGTCCCCAAACCTGGCCTCTGTCTGTCTCCTCAGGAAGAAATTTGAGCTATTTGTCTTAGATCCAGCTGGGGACTGGTACTACCGTTGGCTCTTTGTCATCGCCATGCTTGTCCTCTACAACTGGTGCCTGCTGGTGGCCAGGTGAGCAGGGAAGGGTCTGGGAAGGGGTGGCCAAAAGCAGCCCAGTCTCCAGGCCCTGGGATTGAGAGCATACCAGTTGCAGCTGTGGACACAAAACTCATCCAAAGCCAACCCTCTTTCTGGATTCCCTGCTTGTCAGTGGTGCCTCCCTCTGCCCTATTACCACCACCACCACCCTGATTTAATATGCTAGCACAGCTTCATGTCTATCCTTTTATCCTTTTCTTGATGTCTGTAATCTGTTCCTACTTCTCCATCCCAATACTGT